CATTCGCTTGCCGGTCGTGGATTCGAGTCCCGTCGACTGCAGAAATTTTTCTTATGGCCCAAGAAAGTGTTTGGGATCACACGTTAAAAGGTAAGGCCCCCGTCATTCCTTGCTCGCACAAGACTCTCGAAGACTTCTGAGGGTTGCTCGTAAGGGGGCAACCGAATGACGGATAGAACAATTTTAGAACATTTTTTTTTTTAGATCCGAGAAGCACAGTGTTTGATACTTGACACAAAATCCGAGAAAACCATCCAGTCAAGCCGAACCTAAGAAACGATCCACAAAGAAAAATGACCAGAGTATACTTCTCTAAATTCAGATCACCATGTTCGTACGGAAGGCGATATATTGATTTCTTTTCCAGATTCTCAAGCAAACAGATAGACAGATAATCACCTTTAAGTCTCTATGGAAACACGACAGGTACCCTTACGAGGGGAGAGTACCAACTTTGCGTTCATAAACCCTCTCTGCAAAGGAGGTAGACGCTAGATGGGTTAGGTATATACAGTGTTTTTCATCGCAGAGAAAATTGTTGCTTATCTGCCTGCCTCGTATTCATTGAGATAGTTGATTAATTAATAAATAACAAAAATATATCGCATTCCAGTTACGAATGTTGAAAACAATATGCAGACTCTTCTTTCCATGTTCGTCTCACGATTCGAATCTCAAATTGATACTTATAGTTTTAGGTCCGAGCAGCACAGTGTTTGGGATTCCTCGTCTTTATATTGAGTTCATTGCTGTCACCAGAACGACCGTGGATTTTCTCTGGTGAGTTCGGTAAGTTTGAGTTGGCGTTAACGTATTTTAGTTTTCGGTTTGATTCTTCGATTCACAAATTACAACGAAAATCAATTTTCTAATTTTAATTATATCAAGTTCCGATGGATTTGTTAACTGAGGAAAATTGATAATATTCGACATTCTTCAGTCTGATTAAGATTTTTTTCATTTCAGGACACTACATCCTTTGCTTGTGCTTACTTTACACAAGAATTAGGGACTTTTGGGTGCCATAATTATTGAAAATCGAATACTGGCATTCGTAAATAAACCACAACCGTAGTCCCCAGTAGACAACACTGTCGAAATCTCAGACATTCGTCGGAGGTCGAAATTGTTTGTATTCAGATCTATGGTATCAGCCCTGAAAACATTGGTTACCTCGGTTGATTAACGGAACATATCCATGGGTGAATCTATTCGAAAGTAAAAGACATTCTCATTGTTTCACTAGTTCATGATTCTTTCAAATAAGACAGGTTTTAAAATATGTTCATTCCCAGATTCTCTCGATCTCAGAGAAGAAATATTAGTTGATTAATTTTCTAGATTCTTTCCTCTAGTATTATGATTTTGAAATTATTTGGGTCCCCCATATACAATAAATATAACCTCTTATGTAAATTCTCTCATGCAAGGTCATGAAGTTTCTCGTTTCATTTGTTTACGTCATTCTGTTCCCACCACCGCTACCAGAATGGAACAAATAAAACGCAACTTTGTGTGTGTGTGTGAATTTTCGACCGAATTTTTTTTTTGAAAAATTGAATTGGAAGATTTTTATTTTAGGCGTCATATTGTCACAATTAAGTAATTTTTCCAAAATCATAATCAAAGTCATTAATAATTCAATATTTCTATAAAATTATAAATCGTGCTTTTCTCATTGAACAGAAAAGTTTATAAACATTTCGAACACGTTTTGACATTGACTCGTTAACAACCTGTACGACTGAGTAACCTCCATTAGTAACGTACCGAGAATAACCTAAACAATAATAGTTCTTGAGAATTCAGATAAATACAGATTATGATTATTGAAGAGATAGTTGATAGTTGAGAACTGATAGTGGATACTTGATTAGCGGGTAGTTGCCGTCGGTCGTGGAATCTAGGGGTTCGCACAGTCAGTCGTCGCGTTAACGAGTTAGTTAGGTCTTTGTGCATCCTACCAGACAACCCTCTCCGAAATGGCCCTATTTATATTGTAAGTACCACTTAATTATTTTGTATCGCATTTGGATGATTCCTCTTTTATATCAATGATGTAATAAATGTATTTGTGGTTTTAACACGGGTTTTACTACTTCTCATACCCCTTAAACTATTAGTGTCTGAGTTGATATGATCTACCCTATCTGAGCTACCCTCAAAGATGATCCAGTGGCCTTATCCCATCAGGAAGACCAGGATCGTGACATGGTGGAGGCGCCGGGCAACTACCCGCTAATCAAGTATCCACTATCAGTTCTCAACTATCAACTATCTCTTCAATAATCATAATCTGTATTTATCTGAATTCTCAAGAACTATTATTGTTTAGGTTATTCTCGGTACGTTACTAATGGAGGTTACTCAGTCGTACAGGTTGTTAACGAGTCAATGTCAAAACGTGTTCGAAATGTTTATAAACTTTTCTGTTCAATGAGAAAAGCACGATTTATAATTTTATAGAAATATTGAATTATTAATGACTTTGATTATGATTTTGGAAAAATTACTTAATTGTGACAATATCATTAATATTATGAGAACTTATCTCCATTTTGATAGATTATGCGTATCTTTATTTTTCCAAACCAATTCCTTCATAGACTATTCAATAAATTTGAATGTGGCGGGAAATGTTTTCAAGAAATGTGGGATTTTGACAGTTTCCACGCTGGCAACACTGTGAAATAGACATTATTAATCATCCATCTGATTAAATCACTAGCGTCTGCGGACAGGTGCAAGTAATAACTCCGTGGTAGGGGAACGTTAGTTAACTTGTGTCGAGTCTAATATAAGGAAGGCATTTTTTTTAACAATCAATCGACCTAGATGAACCTTTTTTCTTGAAGAAGGAGAATTTTTCTTGAGGAAGGAAAATATTGTTTCTGCATAAAAAATGAGAAGGCGGTACATATACTAAAAATTGGAACGATACAGAGAAGATTAGCATGGCCCCTGCGCAAGGATGACACGCAAAATCGTAAAGCGTTCCACATTTTTAGTATATGTACTCGCTTCGGCGGTACATATACTATTTATGAGTATATCTGTACTTGTATTAACAACAAATAAAATATTCACAAATAACACAGGACAAAGGGAAGTTGTTCTTGTGATAGAGGCTGATGTCCTGTAAAAATCTCAGAACATTTACATATCATGGTGATATAGGTCGTCAGTTTTACACCATACTTGGAAATTGATCTATCAAATTTGGGAAGGAACATTCAAATATTTTATCATTGTTACCAACAAAGGTCTATTTACCTTTACTCTTATGACGTTGCAGTGACGTATCTATGACGTCTAAAAATCACGTCGGTGCGACGTACCAATTTGGTGAGCTTCGTCATTTAGGATATTTTTCAATAATTCACTATTTAGATTTTTGTTGGGTGACAGAGAATGCATCAATATACATTATTCAACAAAGTGAAGCCAAATTAGCCAACATCCTTTCCATTGCTATGAAACTATTCTTTGTTCATTTACATCTCGCCGACACAAACTACATAATTTTTGATATAAATACAAAGAACTGATTGCATTTTTATGGAGATGCGTACTGAAGGATAGCGCTGCTGAATAGGTGATTGAATGAACATGACACAGGAGGGAGACCCACCAAGCAGACTCAACAATGCATAATCGATATTATATAATGTCATCAGAGGCTAGTGGTGTTAATCACACCATGTTGAAGGAATCTTTTTTACGTATCATCGCCAAATTCAATCGTCATTTTGACGTCATTGACGTGAGTAATATGACGTCATTGGGCTGTCACTTATTCACGTCATTATCACGTCAATGCGACGTCAACTACTGATGTCACCTTGGTCATTTGAGTGACGTAAAAAAGACGTCACTGGAACGTCATCTGGTTGCCTGGGATCTGGTGTTGAAAGGCGATATTTTAATAGTGTTTTTTCAACTTACTAATTTTGTCTACATTCCTCCTCTGTTTTCTAAGCTTACATCTGTTCTGACATTAATCACGTTTGCCTATTTTTCACGTGAATCTTCAGATGCCTCTTCATGTCTGTAGGTAGGTAGGGGAACGTTAGTTAACTTGTGTCGAGTCTAATATAAGGAAGGCATTTTTTTTAACAATCAATCGACCTAGATGAACCTTTTTTCTTGAAGAAGGAGAATTTTTCTTGAGGAAGGAAAATATTGTTTCTGCATAAAAAATGAGAAGGCGGTACATATACTAAAAATTGGAACGATACAGAGAAGATTAGCATGGCCCCTGCGCAAGGATGACACGCAAAATCGTAAAGCGTTCCACATTTTTAGTATATGTACTCGCTTCGGCGGTACATATACTATTTATGAGTATATCTGTACTTGTATTAACAACAAATAAAATATTCTATTCTATTCTAACCTAACCTAACCGAACCTCACCTCTGGCCTAAACATAGAAAACCCCTAAATGAACCTATTTCCCATAGAGAATATTTTTTAGAAATCACTTGAGAACAAGAAAAAAATAAAAAAAAGATGAGCCTCGCACGGATTCGAACCCCGGCCCGCCGGCTTGGCATGCCGATTCTCTGCTTACTGAGCCAACCAGTTGCTTACGAGACGAAGTATGATGAAGTTATTAATCATTCCAGAATTACGTCATTTGACAGGTTGCTGAGGGGCAAACATTGTATTTTGTCAAGATTTGTCATATAAAACCAGAATCAGCGGGATCGTGTTCTTGGAATCCGAGTTGGAATCAGAAAGAATTTCATAATTTTGTTTGGTGAAACTGTTATTATATTGTGGATGTGGCAGGGATGGCCAGGGCAATGCTCATCAAAGGTAACCTAACAGATAGTTTGTGTGCCCCTCAAGAAACCATGTCAAAATCACGTGTTCTAGAATGATCAATTCAGTCGGCGCCGCATAACGCCAGTCGCATCTACTGCCCACTATAACGTTCTCCCACCACGGAGTTATTACTTGCACCTGTCCGCAGACGCTAAATCATCCTCATCAGATCATATCAGTCAGATTCATCAGGGTCAAGGGGTCAAGTAATGTTTATTATTGTTTGTTCTTTGTAGTTTGTGCGCCATGTAAAAATAATTGAAATAAAATAATTCATAATTTGAAGGTAAAATGGCTTTAACTAATATCTTGCTTCTCAGCCAGATTGCTGGCTACGTAATCGCTTTCATTTTATCATTATGTATCGTTGTACCTATGGGATTACATCAAGATGACTTTAAGTAAGTAGTCACCACCTATGTGGTATTTTATGGTAAAGAAATGGTCGCACTTCCAGGGGACATTGCTTATTATTCTCCACCGGAGAATGGCAAGAAGCTGACGGGCAACTCTCAGTACATTGGGCCTCACAATGCTATTGCAACTACACTATATTTGTAGGAGTTATGCTGGGTCTTGTCTCAATTATACAAATTTACAGGTAAGTAGGGTTTGTCGTTCTGAGGTAAAACTAGATGTATTTGCAAATAAGTGCCATACTTGATATAATTTATTATTTCAGATTGTCTGTGTTTATGTACAAAGGCACTGACAGTAGCTTTCTATCTGCTTTCATAGATGTACTATCAGGGATACTTTTGTGTGGGATGACTATCATAGCTGCTCTTATGATCACTTTGGGATTTATGGCTTGGTGTCAAAATATGACTCAAAGATTCCCATCGTAAGTATAAAACCTTTATATTGTTGAAGCCTCAATGGGTGGGAGAGATGCATGTTTAGGATACAATACAATACAAATAGGAATGTCACTGAAAATTTTAATTTAAACCATATGAAATTTTCTCTTTTTAGATGTGAATTAGCTGCAGGTCAAGATATAGACCATGCTGACAAAATAAATACTGCAAATTTCTACATTCAACTAGGCACAGCACAGTTTGGCATCTGGGGCTCTTTTGCAATTTGGGTCGGCCTTTCTGTGTGTGCTCTATTGAAACTGTGTAGATATCATCAATTGGAGAACATCAGAGTATCTATGTATATAGAACGCCAACGTTTGATCAATGAGAATGCTGATTCTCCTGGTAGCAGTCTAGGAAGAGAATCAAACACCAGTCAGGTGACTGCAACTGTGACTGAGTGATTAGTCTGCAGTGTACTGAGGTATCCCTACTTAGTTATCTGTGCTATTATCCATATATCTGTTTTGTTGCATCAAACTATCTCTCAATATTTTAGCTTAAATTAAGCATGTTCATATCAATTTTAATTAAAATATTATAAAATTATAATTTCAATGTATTTGTATACTTCCCAAAAAGTTAACATTCTTCCTTGTATTCTTTATAAAAAAATCTTCATATGAAGGTTTTTTTTTTCTTTACTACTCTTTTTTTCAAACCACACACATATTTACTATGAACTGTGTCCAAGATAAGGATGTCTATCATGGGGTAAAGTTTTTTGTTGAAGAGTGGCAATGGGGAAGGGTCTTTGTTTTCCTATATCTCTTTGAATAACATTAGAAAAATATTAAAAAGATCCTCTTGATAGACATCCTTATCTTAGACACAGTGTGTATTAATATATTCATATAATCAAGCATTTTTTCATTTTAATATCAACTGTTTTTGTTTACTTCTAAACCAACTACTATAGTGTTTTATTTTTATTTAGAAAACAAATATTAAGGAAGACAGTTTCTTCAACAACTCACAAAGTGACTTTCTCCTCTATTTATCTTTCAAGAGCACCTGTGGAAAATAGACCTTTCAGCTTTCAGGGACACCCAGTATTTTTCAATCCTAAAAAGAATGGCAATTTTGAGAACACCCTGTATATATCCATGTTGATACTAAAAATTCAGCCGTTATATTTATCTACTAATACCATCCAGGGCATCCAGTGACTAGTATGTCTCATTATGCTCAATGTACTTACTAAGAAGGAAAAGATGTATATTTTTCATGTGAGTGAGTTTCTTTTGACAATGGTGTGTTGAATGACTTTTTAATTGGTTTATATAGCGGGTGACACAGGATATCGGGCCACTCCTGTGACTTCTGCATTCAGAAACGGATTTTTCTGAAATTTGGTACAGTTATACAAGGTGTCCCAAAAGTCATGGATCAAATTTCAAATCATATCTCTTTTTCTTCACTCTTGAAAGCCATTTTAGCCAAAAATACAGTGACATACAAAATGAACGAGTTTCATTAATTGTGACAGATTGAAAGTGGAACATCAAACTCAAGGCCTTCTATGATAATTTGTTTTTTCAAGTTATCCGATTTTTCTAGAAAGAATAACAACTTGTAATTAATACACCATTGAAAAGAGAATAACAAGTTCTATTCAAAACAGAATAGAATCCAATATGGCGCCCAAGCATGTAGTAGAAAAAAAATGGCAATGGAAAAGTGCAGTTAATTTTGGAAACCTACAATAATTAGAGCAAGCAAAAAAGAAAAACAATTTTCCAAACTTTCTGTTTTTTCCGGATATCAGTTCAGACACAAAACACAGGACAAAGGGAAGTTGTCCTTGTGATAGAGGCTGATGTCCTGTAAAAATCTCAGAACATTTACATATCATGGTGATATAGGTCGTCAGTTTTACACCATACTTGGAAATTGATCTATCAAATTTGGGAAGGAACATTCAAATATTTTATCATTGTTACCAACAAAGGTCTATTTACCTTTACTCTTATGACGTTGCAGTGACGTATCTATGACGTCTAAAAATCACGTCGGTGCGACGTACCAATTTGGTGAGCTTCGTCATTTAGGATATTTTTCAATAATTCACTATTTAGATTTTTGTTGGGTGACAGAGAATGCATCAATATACATTATTCAACAAAGTGAAGCCAAATTAGCCAACATCCTTTCCATTGCTATGAAACTATTCTTTGTTCATTTACATCTCGCCGACACAAACTACATAATTTTTGATATAAATACAAAGAACTGATTGCATTTTTATGGAGATGCGTACTGAAGGATAGCGCTGCTGAATAGGTGATTGAATGAACATGACACAGGAGGGAGACCCACCAAGCAGACTCAACAATGCATAATCGATATTATATAATGTCATCAGAGGCTAGTGGTGTTAATCACACCATGTTGAAGGAATCTTTTTTACGTATCATCGCCAAATTCAATCGTCATTTTGACGTCATTGACGTGAGTAATATGACGTCATTGGGCTGTCACTTATTCACGTCATTATCACGTCAATGCGACGTCAACTACTGATGTCACCTTGGTCATTTGAGTGACGTAAAAAAGACGTCACTGGAACGTCATCTGGTTGCCTGGGATCTGGTGTTGAAAGGCGATATTTTAATAGTGTTTTTTCAACTTACTAATTTTGTCTACATTCCTCCTCTGTTTTCTAAGCTTACATCTGTTCTGACATTAATCACGTTTGCCTATTTTTCACGTGAATCTTCAGATGCCTCTTCATGTCGTGCCCCAACCTGAACCTCTTACCGCACACTGCGCAACCGTACGGCTTGTCC